GTACAATATCGTAAGGTTAACAACACGGAAAAATACACATTAGAAATCAGCTCTAAAAGTTTATCTGCATCCTCAGAGACATAGTTAGAACAAAACTGTGCCTTTCTGCTATATTAAGTTTATTGTAAAAATAATCATTCATCATAGAAAAACATTGATGTGCTCAGGTTGATTTCTCCACGCGAAACAAAACTCCTGCTGATGTCTTTTATGACAGCGAAATTGGACCAGTTGTCAGTCATCTCTACCAGGTTCGTGAACTTTTCTCAGCGATCTTTTCAAAAAATCTGAAACATTCGTTCAGGTCTCAAATCGTGGCCCGTCCGAAATTGATTCGGCCACTCTTGACATCTTTTGGCCATCATTCTCAGCTGAAGGTGGTCATCTGTTGTACATGATCACTGATCCGGTCATAAGTGATCCTTCCAAAGGAAGATGTCGAGTGAAGCAGGTGCAGAACATCAATCCGCTCAATTTGAGGGTGAGTCTGTGTTAAAAATGGATTTTAGTTCTTCTAATAGAGGGCTGATTCAGGTGACCAACGAGCATCTTGCTACGGAAACGGATCATCGGATGCACGGTCCTGACTATAGAGGTGAAGGAGAGGAAGGAGAAGGGGAAGAGGGAGAAGAGGAAGAGGAAGAGGACGAGGAAGAAGGGGAAGAAGAGGAGGAGGAAAGAGAACATGCAGTCCAGGTAAATGCGTTTGAAAAAGGCTTTAAAATAAGTATGTTCCACAATAAACTAGCCTGTAATAACTTGAACTTTTTCAGTCTCACGTCATTAGAACACAAGCTGCACGTCCACAAACTGTAGGAAGAGGAAGGGTTGGCCATCAACCACATGTGGAAGTAACTCATCTAGAAGGCTATACGGCTGCAGGTGATCAGACACAGGAAGAAGCATCTGCCAGAGGCTATGGTAGTGCAAGAACTCAGACTCATGGCCGAAGCGGCACGTTTGGTACTGAAACAGCAACTGAAAATGGCAGAAGAAGCCATCAGGCCCATGTTATATTAGCCCATGGCGGGAATCCAGATATCGAAAAAACTCGCTTGGGTCAGGGCCATGTCGTTACATCCCATGGAGCAACATCTGCGGGTGGACGAAGCCATCAGACGAAAGTTGTAACAACCCATGGCGGAGCTCAGGGCCATGTTGTCACATCACATAGTGGAGCAGCATCTGGCGGCGGAAGAAGCCAGCAAACCCACATTGTCACATCTCATGGTGGAGCCCCCGGTAGCGGAAGAACTCTTCAAACTGAGAGACGCGTCGTGACAGGCCACACCGTAACCACACCCGGTGACGGAAGAAGTCAGCAAACCCATATTGTCACATCTCATGGTGGAGCCCCCACTAGCGGAAGAACTCTTCAAACTGAGAGACGCGTCGTGACATCCCACACTGGAACCACTCCCAGTGATGCAAGAAGTCAGCAAGTCCACGTTGTCACATCCTCTAACGGAAGTGCTGCCACTGAACGAACTCATCAGCAAGTGGTAACAACC